TGGGGAATTAGAAGAAGAATTTATATGAAAATTTCTTTAAAGTTTACCAAAGGTGTAAAGGCAAATCAAGTGTATAAACTAAAAAGACATTTTACAAGTTCAAGTAATCTCTCAAAGCATGGGTAAGAAGATTTGTAAGAATGATGCTAGTTATAAGATACAAGCAGAATCAGAGAGATCATACTCTATTTATAAAGCACTCAAATCTAGGAGGAGTTATAGTTCTCTTAGTGTATTTTAAATTTATTTGGAGCAAGCTTGGAGAGGCTAAATGACTTCCATCTTCCTTAGTTCGATGCATTTAGTATTTTATTGTTATAATAATGAAAATGGAGTTAGATTTAAGTTAAGGAATATACCTCTTCCTTCATACTAGTATTGTACTGAGTGATAACACTCATGACTAACGGTACTTAGTTATGGCAATGAATAGGAGTAGACCAGACATCGGTACCGTTAAACTCCTCCTAACATGTTTAGTACTTGGGCAATTTATGGAATTCAAACCCAATTTTGTTTGATCTTTTGTTTGTCTAACTAGTAGAGGTCGGTTTCAAATTTTAATTATGAAAAAATCAGCATAACCCAATATAGTACTATCTATATATGCAAAACATATGCTACAGTAATATTCATATACATTTAAATAACTGAAAATCATTTTACCCACCCATATGTACCCTAATCAGTCAACTGCTCTCTGCTCGAGTTTTGTCATCTTCTTTAAGCCACCTCCTTGGTACCACTTTCACTAGCAGGCAAAGTGATTTTCAGACAGCGACCTTCACGTGGCATTTTTAGTGTCATCCATCTAATATTCCGGTCTCCGTTAAATTACCAAAGAAGCCCTCAGTAGTTTCCAGAACTAAACACAAAGCATAAGGCCACGTCCGTCATTTCAATCTGGATATCCACCATAATTTGAGATATTCAAAAGGTGAGGATGAGGAGAACACCGCAGTTGGAGTATGGGCAAAGACCAGAAATGGAGCTGGAGCTGCGCTCTAGCCGGAGCCGCATCGGCGGCGGCTGTGGTGTCTCTAATCAGCGCGAAGCCGAAGGACCCGACATTCCACCTCATCTCCATCAGCCTCACCTCCTTGAAGCTCAACCTCCCAGTTCTCGACATCGGGCTGGTCCTCACCGTGCACGTCACCAACCCTAACATCACCGCCGTCAATTACTCATCAACCACGATGTCCATCTTCTACGACGGTTCGCTTCTGGGCTCGGCGGACGTGAAGGCCGGTTCGCAGCCGCCCAGGTCATGCGAGGTGCTCCGCCTTCCCCGCTCGGCTTGACAGCCTGGAGCTGGCTCAACAACGCGGGG